ACATGTGCTTCTTTTCTAGAAAAGTTTAAATTTTGTAGGTCGACTTAGCATTTTATTAGTTGCGTTAATCCCCATGCAGGCCAATGGCATACAGTGGCGTACCAGGCTGACGATCTTGTCCCGCTATGTAAATTTCGAGTTAATATAATTATTCATGTCTTTAGAAATATTAGCACACACTTTAGGGCCTGTTTACATGGAGCCGAGTTACCCGGGTAACCGAGTTACTCGCCTTGCCGGGACAAGACGGTACTGTGTTTACATGGAACCGGGTAACTCGGTATTTGTTACGGTACATTGTAATTACACGACGTACTTACTATGTAGGGTGCGAAATTTCAAAAAGTTTTTTACAATGGTGGTAAATGAAACGTAAATGCACATGCGTGTTTGGCGAATATTCTGCTCGCCTAGCCGAGTTTCCGGTTGCAAAGTGTTTACATGGTATAACCGAGTAACTTGCCTTGCCGAGAACCCGGCACCGTTTGCCGAGAACTCGGCACGCCGAGTTACTCGGATGCGCCATATAAACAGTCAACCGAGATATCCATACAATATATAGAACAGGCGAGAACTCGGTGCTGCCGAGTAACTCGGTTAGCCGGGTAACTCGGCTCCATGTAAACAGGCTCTTAGAACACTAAAATATTAGCATAGCGGGACAAATCGACAGACTGGCTATGCTACTGGCATAAATTTGCAAACAGGTCATTAAAATTTTAACTATTCTAACTATCCTTAACGATCCTATTGTAATAATTTGAATGCCTGAGCGCTATCCTAAACCCACAGTTGCACGCGTAGACATCAGCTTCTTGAGCTTTAAACAATTTTTATTACCATAAAATTCGACTGCCAAGGAAATCATGAATACGATTCAACTGAGTACAGAACAAAGAGTATTTGCTGTAACTCAATGTAGCCTAATACCAAATGTAACCGCAGTGCAAAACGCATTTTCATAAAGACGAATTTTTATTCCGACTATTGCTCACCGGTAAAAATGACATATTCACGACAATTACGACTAAATGGAAACCAGGCTTAGAAGGTCCTCGTCTTAAAAGGGTCTGTAGAAATTTGGGTGACCGTTGGGACTTAAGCAAGACTAGGGTACGTCATCATGATCTCATTCCTTTCCAGTCCTCGAATACCCTTGAAACTACGAGATTGTCGCCGATTAACTCGAAATAAAAAAAAACGGGCAAGCAAGAAATATTTCCTTGTGAAGTAATCACACTGCATTTAAGGGATCATGCAGTTGTACTGCACCCCGATGTACTTATTCCCACGATCTACTTCTTTATTTTTCTGGCTGTTAAGTTCACCTCTCCATATAGCTTGGTCCCACATATTCGTCATACATTTATTAGTCGTACTGTTCGAAACGTACTAACATAGCTGCATTCTCGTAGTCAAATAAAAATAGCAAAATGTATTTTGATAGCTTATGTATAAATTTATAATATTACTTTAATTATCTTTGGATATTTGCGCGCAAATGCGACCTGACAATTAACATCACAAAATTGAACACCGCATGATTGTTACGTGTCGTGGCATCATATATGCCAGCGGTGGAATATGTTTGCTTGAAACTATATCCCAACTTTTGCTTTAAAGTTGATTGCATGCATATACGCTATAACTTCGCTACTTCATCATGTACAACGTTTCCTTCTATAAACATTAAAATATCTGTTAGACATCCTTATAATGTTATACTCCTTATTTTTGTTGATTCCACACGTTACACAACCCCCTTTGAAAATCCGTATAATAACAAGAACCTATATTCATCGTGCACCACTATTATATCCTCTATCAGTGAAGTTTTCGAAAGGCTACCCTAGCTTCGTTGCGTAAGATTGGATTTCTCCAAAAGAACACAAGCGAATTTACCGAAAGAGAAGCGAGAGTGAAAGTCTTACTCCACTGTTCGATAAACATAGTTACAAAGATACTGGTTTCTAGGGAGCGTATTACACCGTAAGGGAGATAACATATTACCATACAGGCAACTACTATTACACAAGACTTAACCATCCGTATGTTTTGTGTTCTCTCCAAACGGCCTGCATTAGCAAGCACAGGATCATTTGCCGCCTTTCATATTGTCCGAAATATTGAGGTATAGATAAACACCGTAGTAACAATTCGGAAAGAAATTGCATAACTCGTTAGCGGCCGCGCAACTTGACCAAAAATCGGGTAGGCGATTGCTAATGCGAAAATTTCCAACGACATAATCGCTGCCAGCCTAAATAGTCGGAGCTTTGTTATCTTTGTGCGATGAAACATGGGATAAACGATGCTCAAATATCGCTCGATGTTTAGACAATGTAAAGTTTCAAAAGACATACCACCTGCACAGAATGTTAATATTTCATGCAGAACATATATCGTGCAATTTGGTTTCCCCATTATTGCTAAAGCCATGCCTAGCACAAAGACGGAATAACCGAAGACTGCAGCAGAAAGGTCGATCCCAGATAACACCGTTATCAGAAAGTATGATCTTGTTTCTAAGTCGAGCTGATTTCCAGTAGGTGAGAATTGTCAGCGAATTGAGGGCAACTGCCACTATAATGAGGACGATATTACACGTTATGCACGCAATATAGTTGATCTGATAACTTCGGGATGGCAGACTCGTAACCATGATATATTCAGCGTTGTAAAGTAAGCAACTTTGCCATAACATCTCGTATGAATTGGTTTCATTCATATCTGTGGAACTTTTTAGAACAAATTGTTTCGCAAACACTCGCAAATTGTTTTGGTCAACTGTTTGAATGACGTTTTAGGGATTATGAACATAAAATTGATTTTCGACGAAATAATGAATAAATAAATACTAAAAAATAATATATATTAAAAGTAATTTCCGAAGTATTGACAGCCGATCAAAAATTAAATCGTAAAAACTCTGTGTTGGCGGAATATTGATTTATTTAATAACTTCTTATTAACCGAACCGAGATCTTTTCTGCACAGACCAAACCCGCAAAAAGGGAGGTTGGCAATGACTATAAGCAAGCGAGGCTAATAAATAGTTGTATATAATAATTATAAATAGTAATATTAATTATATCGTAGAGGGCATAAGACAGTTGTTCACGAATCATGATGCCATCTAAGTTTAAAAAGTGTGTCAAACAACTGATAAATAATCAGTGTCCCCAGGGTCTTTTTCTAGACAATCGTTTTGTAAATACTCGCGGGCAGGTTTTTGCTCACTTCAGCTGACCGTCGTAAACAATTCGAAGTTCTTTTAATATAGTTTCAAGACTTCGTTGTACAACTTCGTGGTGAGATGAATATATTGATCGATTCATCATCGCGGGTTTCGTAATTTCTCCGTGAGAAAACTTTTTGTCCGCTGTCACTGATAATTTAATCATATCAGTCCTACAATAAATCAGGCTGATGATTGGGCAGGTGATTTTAACGAACGAAAATCAACATCTGGCTATCTATAAGCTAGGGAATTAAATAAGTTTCCTTCGAAATATCTTTTTAACATTGATGGGACCTACTAAAAAACACATTATTGTGATGTAGTCAGGGCTTCCCGATTAAAAATTGCTCCACTGATTCATTGAATATTATACAGTCTTTTCTTTTAACGAGAACATAATCCAAAAAAACGTGTATTTATAAAGGTTTATTCAGAGAAAATTAGCAGCCTGCATATTGCACAATACCACATTCTAATCTTATCAGCCCATATCAGGAGTGCATGTACATTAGTTATATTAATCAAACTTCCTGAATTATTCGTCATATATACACGGTGTCCCAAAAAAGTCCCTTCTATTGAAATCAAGCCTTTGTTAGGATCTGATTGCCTTAATATTATGATATACCCATCAATTGAAAGCAAGACGCTTTATTTGAATACCCTAATAACTATGCTATTTACACACTACTGCGTTGATGATGCATTCAAATTCCAACAAAAGCTTCATTTCAATAGGGGGGACTTTTTTGGGACACCCTGTATACACCATAAAGATATTGAATGTCTCAATAACTAATAATTCCAAGCAACACAAAAACTCCCCACGTGCTAGATTCAGGCATTATAACAGTCAAAATACTAATCACACAATAATCGCTCTGCGTATTACTACCCCCACCCCCCAAAAATCGCTCTGCGTATTGTTGTCTTCATCTTCCAAACCGCTTTCGTACCATTAGTCTACGTCCATTGGATGGTCGCATATTGCCTGACTATCAGTGTCTGAATTGTAATTTGGAAATAGTTTTTCGACAATATTTTCACCATACTTCCGCAGTTCCGCTTAATGTCTTCACAAATCGCATTATTAATTTAACTGCAAACCAAGCTCCATCAGTGAACACCGTCTTCCCTTCATAGTTGGTAACACGTATCCCTGAGCGTGCATTAATGCGACGACGTTTCCGTTCAGATCAAAGACAGGAGAGTCACTGGCTCCAATAAAATAGACTTGTATCAAAGGGCAGACACTCGTTGTATATATAGCTCTCAGTTGCATCAAGAAGTTCATGTGCACACCAGGGTGAATTTTTTTAAATTTTCGCAATTTTCGCTTGGTCTCAAGGAACAAAATAGCCTTTAGTGAGGTCACAGCAGCTACAATACGCATTATTGTATTCTTTACTGAATAAACCAGATTCGCTACAAAGAGAATTTATTATATTCTACGCGTACAAGATTAGAGAATTACATCAGTTTATTTGAGTATATTTGTCTAATCTAATATAGATTGGTCAGTGGTAAGATATTTCATTAAAATGCACAAAACGCGCGCATATTTGTAATTAGCCTTTTTCACGATGACGTTATTGGGGTACTTTCAATTTTCTCAAATGGGTCAAAAAAATTAGAACGACATGAAAAGCAATTTTTTACAATGAACGGACCGTTTGAAGAGTAAATTCAGCCGAAAAATAAAGATAGTCGCCGTTACAAGGTCTTACGCTCTTGGTTTCGAAAAAAAGTACCCCAAAAATGGCGGCATATTCGTCATCGTGAGAAAGGCTAATTGCAAAGTATTTCCTTGTTCAATCCTAAAAATATCAGTACTATTTCAAACGACTGTTTCTACATGATAAAAATTAAATTATACGCCACTGGCGCTGGGAAAACCTTACTTAATTTTATGACAAGCGATTATTTTAATTTGTCCTAAAAAGCAGACTGAACCAAATTCCGGTCCTAATATATAGTACAGTTATTCTACATCCATCGGCTGATTCATGTTATAATTGGGAAAAAGTTCGTCGACATTAATTTTGCTTTCATTTGCTTCATATTTTCGCTTTATATCTTTACATACCGCACTAAATTGCACACCAAACTCCATCAGCGAACAGCGTGTTTGTTCTGCCGTCCTCAGTGTGTATCCCTGCGTGTGCATCGCGACGATCTTTCCATCAAAATCGAAAACTGGGGAACCACTGGAACCAGAAAATAGGCTTGTGTCGTATGGAAGGCAATCCACGTATCGTTTAGTTGCTTTAAGCAGTTCTGTGTTGGTCATGTGTACACCAGTTTGAACACCATGCCTTACATTAAGTTTTTCACGCCAAGAATGATCGCTAACAACGACGCATGCTTCTTCCTGCATTTCCTTACCGCCCGGATGACCAATGATGATAACTCGCCCCTCTTGTAATGGGTAACTACGGACAATGGGACCAAGAAAAAGACGATCACTGAGAACTTGGTGTTCTTTCAAACGAAAGAATTTATAATCTAAGTGCGGGTTCTCGAGCATAGGATCATGTTCTTCATCAACTTCCACCATCACACTATTTTGTTCTTCGTTTGGATGGAGGAAATCAAATAAAACGTTTATTGGCAATTGACCATTCTGTGAATCCTCTATTTCCATACCTTTGGTGTGCGTGTCTTCTGTTGCCATGCCTTGAGTGTTTTCTGTTACTTTATTTTGAGCAGCTTTTTGTTCCTTACTCGGTTGAGAAATCAATCTTTCACTATTGAATTGCATATAAACATGAAAGTTAGTTATAACAAGCCTGTTCGAAACAAGCCAACACGTTCCCACAGCATTTCCGCACGAAATGCGAGCGATGGATTTAACATAAGTTGCCAAAGAAGCGAGAAGTCTTGCAGGCATTTTAGTTGAGACATTCTTGTAGACATCATTCCTCGCGAAGTTTACAATTTCTTCATTCGCATCGACAAATTTCCCGTCATTTGTACGATTATTTTGATCTAACAAATTATTGTAAGCTGCCGACTTGACATTCTCTGTCATTGACTTACGAATTTTCTCTGTTAGAGGTTCCTTTCTCGACGCCTGATGAGTATACACGTATGTAGCAGAAAATTCTTTCATGTATCTCTCAAGACAAACCAGGTCATCAGTCTGCAGTCTTTCTGTCCTGGTTGGGTTGCATATTTCCTCCGTTACCAAGTTTACCCATTCTAAAATATTTATTAAAAAAAAAATTGCCGGTTGAATGAAGTATACTCAAAAATTTATAAAAATGGTAGACATGTATTTCTGTCAGACATTCTTTCATAAAAAAATAAAATACATCGCGGGCCGGTTGTACCAAGGCTACAATAAGGCTGGATAGCGCTATCCACCGGATAGTGATTTTTTCAACCTTTCAAAAAATGCTTAAAAACTTTATAAGCAACAATTGTTAAAGAGGATCTTCAATTTAGGAATGCTACGGCTTAATCAAAGTTGCAGCCAACAAGGGGTGATTTCAGAGCGATCCGGTAGAAAACGCTATCCGCCTTTCATAGAACCGGCCCCTTAAACGCTGGATAAGTTCAAAATGGAAAACAAAATTATCTATTTATTGAACAACTGAGCTGAAATATTTCGATGTAAATAGTTTAGTTTTCAATGGAAGAACATATTTAATGCATAAGATGTACTGATGTAGTTTCAGTCATTCAGAAGATGTATGAGAATATTTTTAAACTTTGGCTTATCCACCGTTTAAGATAAACGCCTTTCAAACAACCGGCCACTGGTGGTTAAAATTCTGGTTGTACTTCTTGAAATCTAAGCACACTTTTTGAATTTGTTCTTGCTAAATCTGGTTATAAAAGTGAAAAAAAAACTGATGTATGAAACATTGTTTCGTATAATTAAATAGCGACATATATATTGAGTTCGTTTGAAAAGGAAACATTCTTCATGCGCTTTGTTCTCAATGCACATTATCCTTTTTATAACTTACAAAAGCAAATATATTCATTTCAACACATCGCTTTATGCTAGACTCATAGCCGGGACGCTAAATCACGTTGGATCAGTTTGCCTGGATGGTGTGCATTAAACTGAGAATTTATGGCTCCATATATGTAAATTAGCGCAGGATAAAATTACCGGGTTTTACCTGGAACAGAATTTGCTGCTTGAAATGGTTCGGTTTCTTTTGAAATCGTTTCTTTTGCTGGTGAATCTATTGTGGAGAAAGGCGAAAAATTAACTAGTCCAACTTGTATTATCTGTAATTTTATTAGGAATTTAATATTTCTCCGTCACCATCAACCAAACCATGCAAATCCCCTATAGTTCTTTAAAGGACCACGACAGAAAAAATCTTGTGCGTGCATGCATCTATTGACTTATCAAGAGAGTCTTTTACAATTCACTTTGTACATAGTTTTTTAGAAAAACAAAAAAGACAAACTCCCGCATAAATATACGATTTCTGACCGTGCACGTGGTCATGCATTTTGTAGACTGATACGTACATCCAGCCAATCAGAATAGGATTCCACCCGCCGCTGATTTATAAATAAAGAATAAGAAGAATTATATCCGGAAATTTCGTACTGAAAAAAAACTCAGTATTACATACTTTAATAGGCCTATACTTGTCCTTTAATCATCGTAAAAATTAATAAATCATCGTATCAAATAAATCAAATCATCACCTGCTTCCACTTCTACGTGGCTTGCAAGTTCTCGAGCTTTTTCAATTGATTCCATCGCTTTTCTAGTGTTCCCAAGATTGAACCAAGAAACAGCCAAACCAACAAGGGCTTTCTTTTGCTGGATGTGATCTTTATGTTCTGAATCAAAAATATGTCCCGCCCTCTCATAGAATTGAACTGCCTTCTCATCCTCACCAGCTTTACAACATACACCCGCAAAGCTTAGACAAGATAATCCTTCGCGATGTTTATCGTCAAGTTCTGTAGCAACCTTGATCGCTTCGTTGTAATATTCCTTCGCTTGATTATAGTTCCCAGTTTTGCATGATATATGTCCAATTGCTTCGTTTGAACGATATTCTTGATTCTTTTCTCCAGCGCTTTTTGCGATTTCTTTTACCTTCTCGTAAAACATTTTTGCCTCTTTTTCACAGCCTTCCAGGAAACGACAGCAATATCCACACCATTCATTTAGAATTCCCTCTAAAGCTTCCTCACCACGACCAGAAACAATTTTTAGAGCTTTCTGAAAGCATTCCAAGCCCTCTCTCAATCTTCCAAGATTAACATAACATTTTCCTAATCTTTTCAGACGTAAAGCTCGCTCGTATCCCTGGTCCTCGGGGTCACCTGTTGATTTTACAGAATCTATCTATAGGTTTATAGAATCAATCTATAGTTATATCCTGTAAACCATTAGAACAAACACGTGTATCATGCATGTTTTGCATGTTATAGCCCAAGCATACTTTAGCGCCAATTGATCTTCGCACTTCCACCCTCAGCCTAAGGCCATGCACGGGGTTTTATTCCCTCTATACTTCTCATTCCAGTAGTAGTGTAACTTTTAATGGATTTTTCCAGGATTTTTCCTTTTAATAGCCGAACTTTTCATACAAACCTTTACTGCATGTTTTAAAAGAAAATTTCAAAAAATAAAAAATCGAATCATTTAATCATTATTATAAGCTACATATAAAACACAGCACTCTGTCAGTTATTGTGGCTAATTTTCTTTCAGTGGCTATGTTCTGCGGCCTTACCTGACACAAGCTGAGTCTGTTGAGATGACTTTGAATTCAATTCCTCTGTAAACGAATCTATAAAGAAAAGTATTTCAAATATTTCACATTTGATTGGCTGGCTGACAGACAAATAATGTGCGAATTTTCCCGAGCATTTGACGTTCAACAGTTACGGTTAAGGAAAAATGAATTTTAGCATAGCGCCCTTGTTGTTACAATATGTACTTAGGGTACCGTATTCAGGTACCAGATGAGACAATAAAGTTGTTGTTTTGGGTAATGGCTTCGTGTTAACACATGGCGGCAGCTACGGGATTATAAAACTCATTAGAAAACTCTGAAAACAATCGAATTATGTCTGACTCGGAAACTGCAACCTCGAACTGTAGCCCAGTGAGCTCAACTACAGCACAAACTGCGAAGGCAATGAATATATTGCCCGGAATAAAACCGCTGGAAAACTCGATACTCCAAGTGCGAATATCGCGGAGAATTGGAAGGCGTACAAGCAAGCATAGAAGAATTATGCCATCATTACCAACCTGAATGCCCAACCGGAGTAATACCAAGTGGCTCTGTTTCTACACTGCGTGGGGCCCGATGCTTTGAAAATATACAATGGCCTCAACTTTGAAAGCGAAACAGATATTTTAGATGTTTCACCTTCACGCGATAGATGAGGTCAATGAATATACGAACGATATTTCTTTAACAGCCGAGACCAGAAGCCTGACGAATCCATTGATACTTATGTGACAACACTTAGAACACTTACCAAAACATGCAATTTTTGTGACTGTTTGAAAGACACTTTGCTAACAGACTTGCTAATTGTGTTGGGCATACAGAGTCAAAACACACGAAAGCGATTGTTGCAATATAGAAAGTTGATACTTAAGAAATGCATTAACATGCATGTGTCGCAGCGCTGAATCTGCCTTGTCACAGCTTAAAAATATCTCCAAGGACGGTCCTGACACCGAAACGGTCCAATCAATTGGCCAAAAAACCGACCACTCAGCCAGCCCAAGAACAAACCTGATGCCCAAGTCCATTGCCAGTACTGTGGACTCTAGGATTAAACAGCAATACCCAGCCTGGGGCAAAACCTGTCTCGCTTGTGGCACTCGCAACCAATTTTGCAAGTTTCGGTCGTAAAGCTAAATGGACAAATGTTCATGCTATGAAAAACCAGGAGAGTGAGGAGTACTCAGATCGCAGGCTGACAGCATTGAGTATATTACACTGAGTGTAACATTACAGGGTGTATCAAATAAACTACAAATACCATAATTTGTATGCACGAGATTATACACTGTGCAACTAATTACGCTTCTGGGATCTGAAAATACGTTTCCCAGGGTTATCAAATCAAGCACACAAAGTGAATTAAACTTATGAGTTCGATAACGAATGGCTCAGTTAAGAACAGAACTAAGAGAATTTCTTGTTTTAAACGTATAGGAGCAAACTCAACCTCCGTCTAAAGTGGTGTTTATTGGAAAATTAAGCACATAACACAAGGGTACGCAAAACACAATGGTTAGGGAGCGTTAGTAAACATGATAACCTTGAAAACGTATTTTCAAATCCCAGAAGCGTAATTAGTTGCACAGTCATTGAAATTCTAAAGTGCATACAAATCATGGTATTTGCAGGTTTTTTTGATACATCCTGTAGTGCATGACGTTGTTCACTCTGTAAGTGCAGCTATAAGGCCTGTTTTTATAAGGCCGAGCTTGACCGTTTACAGCAACTTGTGGCCATCACACCAGTTAGTGAGCCTACCCCGTTGGTTAATACCTGAGCTCTCCAAAGCAAAAGTTTTCTCCACTGTTGACCTTCGTTGCGGATACTGGCATTGCCCACTTGACACAGAATCGAGCATGCTAACCACCTTTTCTACTCCATACGGTCGCTATCGATGGCTCCGGCCTTTGCGTCTCTTCCGAGGTCTTTCAAAAGCAGGTAAATCTTGCTCTAGAGTGCCTTGATGGTACGCTCAACATAGCGGACGTATTTTAATTTATGGTGTCGGTGTAACAAAGGAAGAAGCAGAGAAAGACCATGACGTGAAACTGCATGATCAACCTTTTGCGCCGCTGCAAGGAACGCGGAACCGCACTAAATCCTACAAGAAGGCAAACAGTTGCCTACGCTAGTCGTGCCCTCACCGAGACGGAACAACAATATGCTCAGATAGAGAAAGAGCTCCTTTGCTGTCGTCTTTTCTCTAGAAAAGTTTCATCACTGCACTTACCGCCGACCTGTCCAAGTTATTAGTGGCCATAAGCCAATTGAAATAATACTTGTCGCGGGATGTGGGAAAAATATTGCGAGGTAATTCACAAACCCGTCGCACCCGTCGGTAATTCACACCAAGGCATGCAATTACACCTACAAGCCTACGGCATTGAACTTGTATACTGACCAGGCCCGACAATGCACATTGCAGTCTTGCTATCACGATCATACCTGCCAGTTTCCGCAGATCCGAGCACATTCGAATTCGAGAGCATCAACATGTCGCAGTTACTTCCTATTTAGATAAACGACTGACAAGGATTCAGGATGCCACGCAAGTAGACAATGCATTACAACTGCTGAAAACAACTATTCTTCGAGGTTGGCCCGACAACAAACAGTCCCTAGCCCAGAAGTCTGCCCAGCACGCGAGGCGAACTCTCGATACTGGACGGACTGATATTCAGAGGTGAGCGAGTCGAGTTTTTCATGTCGTGCGCACCAAGCTTCGCAACGACACGAAAAACAAGCTCCACTTGTCACATATGGGGACTGAAGCATGCCTACTAAGAGCCAGGAATGTCTGCGGAAATACGACACCTTGTGGCGTAGTGTGAAGCATGTACTACCTTCGGCACCAGCCATCAAAAAGAGACAATAAAGTTGTTGTTTTGGGTAATGGCGTCGTGTTAACACAATAGGGAGTTTATGATCTACGACGCGGTTAGCTCGACGTCGCTAGTCAATTATTTTGCTTCAAATGAGCTACAGAAAATTGATTATGCTGCTAGGACTCTGAAATAATCATACAAACGTTTTAATTGTGCAAATAGCCTCCAATATCTATCTGATATTGTAGTTTCATTTAAGCTATCACGTTGCCGCTGCTTTCATGTCATCGAGAGGCCGTGAAAATGCTTCATTTGAAGGCGTCGTAAGAATGACAACGCTGTCATGGGACCACAAGTTATGCATAGCTATTGTCTCGCGTGTGGAGTTTCTTTGTCTTGCAAGCGCGTTGTCGAGCTGGCCACGTCGTGAATCGTAAACTCCCTAGTATATACTTTCCCTGTCAAAGTTCGCCTCTGCATATTTCGCACGCAAAAACATACCTGCAAATGACAATTCCTCAGCTACGTTTTTTGAAAATTTAGCAAGATACGTGCGCCCTTTTTCAGTTGTAATCTTCTCATAGCATTCAATCGCACCTTCAATATGATTAATTAAAACATAAATATCTCCTAAACTAAAATATGCACGTATTGCATACTCTCTATATCCAAACTGCTTTGCATTTTCGAGGGATTTTTCGTAGTACACGACGGCCGTTTCAAACTGATTGTCCAATCTATAAGCATGTCCCAACCCAAGATATGCTCGTGTTTCATTCTTTCTGTCTTCTCGTTCCTGTGCAATTTTCAATGTTTTTTCATAGTTCTCAATTGCCCTTTGAATCTGTTTGTTCAATCTATAAGTATATCCTAACTCAAGGTATGTAAGTGTTTCACTCTCTCTATCTTCACGTTCCTGTGCAATTTTCAATGATTTTTCGTAGCATTCAATTGCTGCTTGAAACTGATTGTTGAATCTAAAAGCATGTCCTAACCCAAGGTATGCACGTGTTTCATTCTCTCTATCTTCTCGTTCCTGTGCAATTTTCAATGATTTTTCGTAGTACTTAATTGCTGCTTGAAACTGATTTTTCGATATATAAACAATTCCTAACCCAAGGTATGCACGTGTTTCATTCTCTCTGTCTTCTTGTTCCTGCGTAATTTTTAATGATTTTTCATAGTATTTAATTGCCGTTTCAAACTGATTTTTCAATCTATAAGCAACTCCTAACCCAAGATATGAACTTGTTTCAACCTGTGTATCTTCTCGTTCCTGGGCAAAATTCAATGATTTTTCGTAGTATTCAATTGCCGTTTGAAACCGATTTTTCAATCTATAAGCATATCCTAACCCATGATATGCACTTGTTTCATTCTCTCTATCTTCTCGTTCCTGTGCAATTTTCAACGATTTTTCGTAGTATTCAATTGCCCTTTGAATCTGATTGTTCAATCTATAAGCATGTCCTAATCCTAGATATGCACGTGTTTCATTCTCTCTATCTTCTCGTTCCTGTGCAATTTTCAATGATTTTTCGTAGTACTCAATTGCCGTTTGAATCTGATTGTTAAATCTATAAGCATCTCCTAACCCAAGATATGCAAGTGTTTCGCCCTCTGTATCTTCTCGTTCCTGTGCAATTTTCAATGATTTTTCGTAGTACTCAATTGCCGTTTGAATCTGATTGTTCAATCTATAAGCATGTCCTAAGCCAAGATATGCAAGTGTTTCATTCTCTCTATCTTCTCGTTCCTGTGCAATTTTCAATGATTTTTCGTAGTACTCAATTGCCGTTCGAATCTGATTGTTCAATCTATAAGCATGTCCTAACCCAAGATATGCACGTGTTTCATTCTCTCTATCTTCTCTTTCCTGTGCAATTTTCAATGATTTTTCGTAGTACTCATTTGCCGTTCGAATCTGATTGTTCAATCTATAAGCATGTCCTAACCCAAGATATGCACGTGTTTCATTCTCTCTATCTTCTCTTTCCTGTGCAATTTTCAATGATTTTTCGTAGTACTCAATTGCCGTTCGAATCTGATTGTTAAATCTGTAAGCATGTCCTAACCCAAGATATGCACGTGTTTCATTCTCTCTATCTTCTTTTTCCTTCGCAATTTTCAATGATTTTTCGTAGTACTCAATTGCCGTTTGAATCTGATTGTTCAATCTATAAGCATGTCCTAAGCCAAGATATGCAAGTGTTTCATTCTCTCTATCTTCTCGTTCCTGTGCAATTTTCAATGATTTTTCGTAGTACTCAATTGCCGTTCGAATCTGATTGTTCAATCTATAAGCATGTCCTAACCCAAGATATGCACGTGTTTCATTCTCTCTATCTTCTCGTTCCTGTGCAATTTTCAATGATTTTTCGTAGTACTCAATTGCCGTTTGAATCTGATTGTTCAATCTATAAGCATATCCTAAGCCAAGATATGCAAGTGTTTCATTCTCTCTATTCTCTCGTTCCTGTGCAATTTTCAATGATTTTTCGTAGTACTCAATTGCCGTTCGAATCTGATTGTTCAATCTATAAGCATGTCCTAACCTAAGATACGCAAGTGTTTCGCCCTCTGTATCTTCTCGTCCCTGTGCAATTTTCAATGATTTTTCGTAGTACTCAATTGTCGTTTGAATCTGATTGTTAAATCTATAAGCATCTCCTAACCCAAGATATGCAAATGTTTCGCCCTCTGTATATTCTCGTTCCTGTGCAATTTTCAATGATTTTTCGTAGTACTCAATTGCCGTTTGAATCTGATTGTTCAATCTATAAGCATGTCCTAAGCCAAGATATGCAAGTGTTTCATTATCTCTATCTTCTCGTTCCTGTGCAATTTTCAATGATTTTTCGTAGTACTCAATTGCCGTTTGTATCTGATTGTTCAATCTATAAGCATGTCCTAACCCAAGATATGCAAGTGTTTCGCCCTCTGTATCTTCTCGTTCCTGTGCAATTTTCAATGATTTTTCGTAGTACTCAATTGCCGTTCGAATCCGATTTTCCAATCTATAAGTATGTCCTAACCCAAGATATGCAAGTGTTTCATACTCTCTATCTTCTGTTTCCTGTGCAATTTTCAATGATTTTTCGAAGTACTCAATTGCCATTTGCATTTTATTCTTAGATATATAAGCACATCCCAACGCATGATATGCAACTGTTTCGCCCTGTCTACTTTCTCGTTTCTGTGCAATTTTCAATGATTTTTCGTAGTACTCAATTGCCGTTTGAATCTGATGGTTAAATCTATAAGCATGACCTAACCCAAGATATTCAAATGTTTCATTCTGTCTATCTTCTCGTTCCTGTGCAATTTTCAAAGATTTTTCGAAGTACTCCATTGCCATTTGCATTTTATTATTAGATATATAAGCATGCCCTAAGCCAACATATGCATTTGTTTCATTCTGTCTATTTTCTCGTTCCTGTGCAATTTTCAATGATTTTTCAAAGTACTCAATTGCCGTTTGAATCTGATTCTTCAATCTATAAGCATGTCCTAACCCAAGATATGCACGTGTTTCATTATCTCTATCTTCTCGTTCCTGTGCAATTTTCAATGATTTTTCGTAGTACTCAATTGCCGTTTGAATCTGATTGCTCAATCTATAAGCACGTCCTAAGCCAAGATATGCAAGTGTTTCATTCTCTCTATCTTCTCGTTCCTGTGCAATTTTCAACAATTTTTCATAGTACTCAATTGCCCTTTGAAACTGCTTGTTTAATCTATAAGCATGTCCTAACCCAAGGTATGCACGTGTTTTGTTTCTTTTCTTTCCTATTTGGACTGGAATTTCTAATGATTTTTCATAGTATTCAATTGCCTCCCTAATTTTCGCCTTTGACAAATAATAATCTCCTAATACAATGTTTATCCCAGCCATTTCCTATTTGGCATACAGTAATTTTTTTGAAATTTGCAATTCTAGTCAATGGTTGCTGAAGAAGATTGTCGTTGAACAAGCTAGATGTCTTTAATGTGCTTCTCTATAGGGCTTTTCTTTGTTCACAATACGTTAGAAATCCTTTGTAGTGCTGTGTTCTTTAATTGCTGGAGGGAAAGAAAAAAACTCTTATGTCATGGAGTGGGCAGGTTTTGGTGAACGAGTCAGATGGGGGAGGGGGATCTCGTGTGATATTGACCAACTTTTGTAATGATTGTGTAATTCATTTACACTGGTACTTTTTTTCATAATAATTTAGTCACATTCTTCCGGCCGTAATACAAAATTCGTCAATTATTTTTTCCTTAATTTACAACAATTTGCAGGTAATCTTGGCAGTTTTACTAATGTTAGTGTGTTCCTTCAGAAAATTTCTTTTTCATCGCCGAGTTAAGAAATCAAGCGCAAGTGCACTCGTGAATGGGTAACTAAAAACCAATGGAAAGTCGCGCATGGTATCTCTATAACTATAAGGTCTATTCTCCAGCACAAGTTTCGTCATCCGTGAATGTGATAGAGGTACGCGACTTTTCGCACTCCCCCTTCGTAACGGCAGTTTAGAATGCATGGCACAGAGACCACAGTTCGTCATTCGTCTTTGAAAACCAAAATGTTTATAGGCCTGGCAACGGACTGAGTCGTTTCGGTTTGGTATAAATTTACCCTCAATTGTGGCAATAAAATTTGAGAGACCCAAATCAGTATGAATATTACAAACGGGTTGCTAAAAGTTAGGTGCAGACAAAGACAGATCCCCCCCAGTCCCAGAAAATTAAACTAATCTTAGAAGTCTATAGCCCTCTTTCAAAACAAGATAAATTTTACGTTATTTATAGTTCAGGTAATGCGATATATTTTCAAAAGGCTATGGTAACTCTTCTCTGTAGGCCCCCCACCCCCAAGCAGTTTTCTCCAGCCCCCACCAAATTATAATGAAATTCAATAAATCGTGCAATTGCATACCCGCATTTTGTAACCTCGTATTAATTGGCATTAATTGCACTCCTATTCGTTCTATTACAATGATTTATGAGCAATAGCTCGACAGGACGATATCCTGCTCTGTTAAGCGTCAATCATGACGATTTTCGTACAAGTTTGTTTCCGAATGTATCAAATGTTTGACACACGCACAGTTATTTTTAACCAGGAATTCTGGTTGCCAATTTGGATTATCCGAGAGCCTCCGTTTGCAAGGGATTGTGGGCTTACGACCTGTACGCACCACGTACCTCTTTTTTCACTGTCACGGAAGTTCAACGTATACAGAAAAGCGCATAAAATGCACGTGACGTCCATAATGGCGTACAGCGTACTTGTGTTATCAATTTAGCAGGCTGCCTTAGCCAATGACTTTCGAAAAATAATGCGGGTTACAGGCAAGAGTGCTCGTCATTCTATTTCTTGATATCATATATAGATATGATATGGCATTGATTTAGTGAATCGCACACTAAAATTTCCGTTACGGTCTTTTAAATATAGATGAAAACCCATATAAGGTGTTTACCTCCTTAATTTCGAATATTTCCATACGAAAGGTAAAGCATACGCTTGGATTTGACTCCAATATGCATTAATTTTACTGTATTAATACATACATAGAATAACATGGATTAATTTACTTCGACATACCTGTCCACAAATGGCTCAGACTTCCGTATTGAAATAATATGACATTATTCCACATATCGAGACGTTTGTGTGAAAAGCATTTATATATATAAAATGCGCACCAACTCAACAAGCATATTTTAACCACAGATATTTCTTCGTCTTGGATGTTCCGACTTCCGAAATAAAATGCGGGTCTCTTACGTCATCATCCTCGTTTCCAGGTTTTCTGCGTACTGCGTGGGCTACAGCCTACAGCCTAACATCATCTAACGAATGAATCAAAGGCCGACAGGCCGGACCTACAAAGTTTCTTCATTGGCACCGGTTGTATAAAAAGGCAGTTAACTTTAAACTATGGTTAGTGGTAGAATTGGTCAATCAGAATCTTATTTGATCAGAATCAGTATTTTCGAAAAAGTGTGAAAAGTAAATAACTTGAATAATGGGATAATTGCTGATCAGTAACAAAATCTGAACCGACCTTGCTTGCTTTGAAATCTCTTTTCAACATTTTTTTCTTTTTACGAGAATATAATCCAAAAATCCAAACATAATCCACATTGACGTTTTTGATTATATTTTCTTTTTTTAAGTGGTATTTATCAAGGCTTTGTGAATTATTTGTCATGCTGTGGTTAGTTCAGTTAACCAGCTGAATTAGAAGTGATAAAATTATTTAACAGGTCAGGTTTCACAAACACTAAATTAATCGTAGGGTGTAATGATAAGCTGCAGTATACATATTATTTAGATCACCGTGCAAATGGTAGGAGACCAAGGAGGCACCGGCTTCTCTAGCTTTCACCAGGAGAGGGAGATGCCCTTTCATTTTAAAGGATTTCGTTCTGGCGTTCCCTAACTCAGTAGAGGTGCGACTGGCGAGAAAAGTCTGAGCACAATCGTCTGGTGAAAAACCCCCAAACACCGAAACATCTTAGAAAGAGAAACTTAGAAAAATCTTAGAAAAATGAAAAGAAGTCCAACAGACGAAGTTTGGCAAACAGTTTCTAGGATGTACCGCTACAGATTGAAGTGCCTTTCAAAAAAACTCCCCGGCCTTTTGAAAGGGCAGTGAATAGGGGTTGTACATTAGTTTACAAGTCTCATAATTATTATTATACTTATTATTAAAACTAATAATTTAAAGCAACACAAACGCTCTTCACGTTCTTTTTCTACCATTAGTTATATTCAGCTATAAACGTGCAAAATACTAATCTCTCTAGATTCCATAGAATAGACTTGTATCGTAGGGCAGACATTCTCTGTCAGTTGCATCGAGCAGTTCGGTGTTGGTCATGAGTACACTAGTAGGCTGTAGTGTGAACAATTAGAACCACATAGTACAAGACTAATGAGCATGCGCGGTGTGCAGTGTACGTTCGACTAATTCAAGATGGAGGACGAATTAAAGAAAGCCGAGCATGTTTCGCACAAAGATCCTGAGAGAGCCATGGAACTTTTGTCCGCTATAGGTGCGTATCTTGTTTCATATCAAGAGGAATACTGTTAATTCTGTCAAACACATTATTTGTATTGTATAATTAGTCGCATATGAGTATTTTGTCTTTAAAAGGCAGAATCCACAGAGAGGATAAAATTTGGCATTTTAATCATTATGCTTTTATGTAAGACTAATAGAACAAAAACCAAAGTCCTATTGATGATCTTATTCAATGTCTGAACCATCGATAAAATCCAACCCCTTGTGTGATGTGTGAAGACAATTTTACAATATATCACTTAATAGTCAATGTAATTTTTTTAAAATAATTTGATACTGTTGATTGACCCAATATGCCGAGACAGTAAGATGTATAGTGCCAAAAAATAAGAGTAAACCATGCCATCATGTGGATTTACTCTATTGAATGCCAAAACCCTTGCTTTATTTTTATTAATACTAAAATTAACTTATGGTTATTACTTCAACATGTGTGTTAACTGTATATTCATGGCAATTTTTGAACATTTCAGAAATTATATACGTTTGCACACTTTCCTCCAACAGATCTCTTTTGATCTGAAGCCACTTCAGCATTTTTTGTTCTAAAACTGTTTTAAAAATGTAGATATTAACCTAACATTTAATCGAGAGAAAAGCTTCTAAAAAATGCTGAGTCTTATCTGACTCTCGCTAAAACGTGGGCAACTTAAAACATAAAGCAACCAAAGTCAAGGAAATTTATCATGTGGATATAGCTATTGAGTTATAGTGCATTAATGTTATAGTTTGTTAGCTGGCTTGACTGAAAGGACGTCAAGATCTTGACAATGTGCAAGATCCCACTGTCACTTTAAATGCCATCAACTGTTTTATGATTTACTCGAAATCCACTAGGCACCTAGCTAATTTATATTTAAAGCAAGCTCAATTTGGTAGCTTCATATGTTGTGAATAACCAACTTTATTTTTTAATGTAGTTAAGAGAGATGTAGATGTTGCAAATGAAGATGACTTGAGAGTAAAGGAACAAGCTATTTTAGATCTAGGTTCATTGTTGGCAAAGAATGGACGTGCAGCAGGTATATGCCATGATTAATATGAATATAGAAGTATTGCGAGTTAATATTGTATTACTAACTATTGTATTTATATAACTTCATAGTAATCCTGTTCATTTTTAACATTAAACATTAACGAATCTTAAATATCTAAAAGCATTTCTAAAGCTAGAAATTTCTTTGCAAATTTTTTATGTAGATTTGAAAACTTTTGGTTTTTCATTATATAGCTGTGCAATTTAAATTTTAGGCATTTTCTTGCCTTTTTTAAGAAAATCATTACTGTGTTATTAATTAATCCTCAGAAACTGAGGATGTATGAGCTACTACAGAACATATATTAGTGATTCTGCGTTTTAAGTTGTGTATACTGTTTTGAACAGCAGCACCCCTTAAATGAACACTGACTATTGTTTTGAAAAAATAACCAATTATATTCTTGTAATTTTACGTATTATAATATAAGTAAATTAGCTTAAAATAATAATAAGAATTATTAATTATTATAATTAGTAATTGCACTGATGAAGGCCCAGGTTAACAGACTGAAAGCTTTGCGATATTAAATACTTACATGGTATACCTACAAACTAATTTACTTAAATAACTAGTTTTTATCTTCAAAACTATAGCTTTCCTTTTACTTGAAAACTTTAAAAGTGGACTGAAAAAATGTGACTGTCGAATTAGAGTAAATCCCATCACATGGGGGGATGTATAGACTTTAGATGCATAGTGAAAATGGATGTAGCCATATGTCTGTTAGATTTCATTCTTTTTATGCTTAGATCAATAGCTAGAAGTATCCGGTTTAGGACATAATATGCTAAAACAAAAGGCTATAATATAGAGGTATTGCATCAGGATTTTGTTCATTTCAAATACTTTTCCAATATGCAGAACTTGAAGGACTGGTGAAGTTTATTCAACCCTTTATGCTGCTTATTTCCAAAGCCAAAGCTGCTAAAATGGTCCGGGAATTACTTGATCTTTTTCTCGATATGGAGGTATCCACTGGTACAGAGGTGAGTTCTCAACAGATTTTAAATCGTTCCCCAGCACTGATTGGTTGAAAATCATGTTTGGATTCAGGATTCCTGCCAAAATTTATTCGGCCAAACTTATTTAAAACTTTCGAATGCATGAACTTATCTAAATGTTTTAAGCTTATTGACATTACAGTAACGTTATTAAGGTTTCGCCTGCTGCTCGTATTTCGTAGGCATCGTCCACTGTCGCTTCCCGTGTGTTTCTATTATGTTATTCAAGCATGGAAAACAAAATAAAATATCCAGTTACGTGGCTCTGGTGGTTTACATATGTTCATGCACTACTTGGGTCGTTTTCATAACGGAAAAGTTATTAAAACGTCAGTAAATAGTGGTGTTCTAGTATTCTTGTCAAAGTTAGTGCAGGGTTTAGCTATCTATTATCAAAGTTCTCAGTTCTTAGACATCTCGAAAATAATAAGAAAATTTAGACATTAGGATGAAGAACCTTCAAATTTAGAATTTTATGAGCGTAGAAAAAATAGCGAAAAGCAGCCTCTACTACATATATTATAATGTATATGTATCGCATTTTACAGGTTGATTTGTGTCTTGAATGCATCCAGTGGGCAAAGAGTGAGAAAAGAGTGTTTTTACGACAAGCTTTAGAGGTCGGTATATGCTTAATGAGTACACTGTATGTTATTGTATACTGTATAATACGCATACCGTATTTAGTGTAAAATACTTTCGTTCAGCTGCGTGACTTTAAAACGGATATATACCCTTTTAAATTTAGTCGAGATTGGTTGGCTTATATTATGGTGTAAGGGAGTACACAAAAGCTCTGTCACTGGGTATGTAAAATGTCATTTCATTTTCTAAAGTGTGAAAATAATGTACCTATGCGTTCTTATTATACCTACAGACCTGCATGGAATTTGATGGGAGATACATGCAGGTTGCGTCATGTAAATTGTGTGAAACTCTCTAGGTTCGAAATTATTGAAAGAGCTGAAAAAACTGGACGATAAGATGTTATTGGTCGAAGTACAGTTATTGGAAAGTAAAATATATCACTCGTTAAAGAACATTCCCAAATCAAGGTACATACAGTACATTTGAACTTTATAACACGTAAACACGTTTGCCTTAGCGACAGTAAAAGAGTCTCCGTCTGCATGACGACTAGTAGCCGCTGTGAGTGCATGGAGATGGCTCAAATGCATATGGGCCATCAAAAAGCTGCTTTAACCAATCTGAAAGAGTTTTCGCAATTCAGCTAGTGTACTTAGAGTAGTCGCCCCAAGACCATTTTTAATATTGCTATATAGAGGGACGAGGGCTTCAGTTTGAACATGACAAAAATAGCGCTTATGGCAAAAAAATGGAGATTACCTTTCGTATTGTATTCTGTGGGACTCTGCATGCCCGAATGCCAACGAGGCCGTTACGGTAATGGTTAACCAAGCAACAGGCGTGCAAAGATATGTTTCTGCCCAACAACCATGATAACGTTCATCATCTGTGCGATTTTAAGCGCTGATTACATTACACAATTAAAATTACAGTACTTTTTCATTTTCCGTAGGGCTGCTCTTACGTCGGCACGGACGACTGCCAATGCGATTTACTGTCCACCGAAATTGCAGGTAGGTGTGCAGTTGAAATTTGACTAT